GTCACAACTCACAATCTTGAAAGGAAAATTTAACAACCACAACAATCAATTTACATAAAAAAGAAAAAAAAAACTAAAGAATCATCAAACGAATATGTAAAGAAACTTCCAATTTGCAGCTAAAACAAGAAATTCGATGGGGTTGATTAATAATGAAAGGGTAAAAAAAATAATTTTGTGCTGCCTGCTGACCAAAGAGAATTATCAAAATTTATTAGTCAAAGATATTTCTTTCACACCACTTGAAACTACAACAAGAACGCTTATTTTACACTATATTATCATTCTCTTATCCTTCCTGATGTACACTTATTTATGCATATTTCTCCAGTATCATGTCAAATAAATCTTATGACAATAACAATATTTTAGGAAAGAATCTAAAAAATGATGCAATATATCACCATTGAGAAGTTCCAGGTATCACGATTATTGAGTAGGGTTACATCTTAAAAGATTATTTTCATTTATAATATAAGTGGGATATTACTTTTAACAGTGATCCACATATCTAGAAACAACCCAGTGGAAGAAAAGGGCATTGTGATTAATCATTCAATTATACAAAACAGAAAAAATCAGTTGCATCAGAATAAGATCATATTTCACAAATTTCATGTTAAAAAGCCCATAACACAGGCAGAACCATGTTTTGTATTCCAGCAAAAATACGTAGATAGCAACGTAAAAGCAAAATATCGGAAAATCACCACACCACCAGCCAGCTATCAATTGCCTTTTATGATTTGGAATTGGATTGGAATATTGGACCATTTGTTGTTTAATTTGGGCCTAATGTTTTTAAACAAAATGAGGCCCATGTCAATTGACATAAGCCCAAACAAAAAAATAAAATAAGGGTCATCTTCTTCCCAGAGTTCCCGTCTCTGCAAGCTGCAACCTGCAAATAAAAACTTTTTTTTTTCATTTTCTTCATTTAAAAAAAAAAATTTGGGGGCCTATTCATCTTCTTCCCAATTTCCCTCTTCCGTCTCTGCAAAGTGCAAGCTACAAATGATTTTTTTTTTCATTTTCTTCATTTAAAAAAAAAAAATTGGCGGCCAAAAATAGACCCCTCTAAATCGTTGGCTTGAGGCGCAGGCCTCATCTGCCTCGCCTCAGGATCGCCTGTGATGCTCCATTGTTGAAGAGTAGAAGAAGAAGAAGTCCGTACAATCCCATCGAATTCATTATAATCAAAATGAGAATTTGAACTGCTAGAGAGGCTTTCAATTCATGTGCGAATTTATAGGGGACAGAAAGTAAACTGAACACGCAACAACCAAATGGTAATGAATAGTAGTTCAACGGTAATTAAACGAGCAATTTGATCTTATTAAAATTCAAACGATACACTATCTTTCGAGGCATGTTAAGTGTATAAGATATTTACCGACCACATTTATTTAGTTAGTAAATATTTTTCCTGGCCAAAAAATAATCATGGTTAATAAAGATTGTGTCGTCATGCCCCGCTAAAAAATAAATCTTATTTTGGCCTACTATTTTTCATTTTGGCCGGCAAATATGTCTTATTTTCACCTACTAGTACCTATTTTAGCTGGTAAATACTGTATTCCCGACTAATTATATGTTAGTGGGAAAAATTTGGTCGGCAAAAGACTATTATTATTGACTAGTTATATGGGGTCGATAAATACTTGGTCAGTAAAGATGTTGCCAACCAAGTATTCTATTGGTCGTTATAAAAGAGTTTTCACCAACTAGAATTTGGTTGGTGGGCGAAAGTTGGTCGGGAAAGCTATAGTTTGTTGTAGTCACGTCTTATGCAAAGACTTGTGAATGCTACAATGGACCGGCTAAACATAAAGCCTTGAGTGCATTCCAATCCAACCGCATGCTATATTGGATGTGTAACCAATAGTTGACTTCAACCATAAAATTTTGTTCATAGCAGACAAGGTAATTTTGTTAACTAACAATTGATTTAAAGTGATCACAGTATTCAAAGCATTCACTGATAAATCGATCATCATCAAAAGATCAAATCAAGACTATTATTACAAATTGAACTTTATAGAGAAGGTTAAGATCGAAGTCACATTGTTCAAGCATTCAAGATAAAATCCTCTATGAGGGCTTGAGAGTCAATTTTAAAAAGATCAAAGACTAGACTTTTACACCAAATGCACAAGTAATAATGCTTTGATCTTCAACAATTAATGATAAAAGCCCAGGAACTATTTTATAGACCAAAAATTATTTTGATATCACTTGCATATAATGTTTTTATCAAGTTAAAATTGATTTTCATAACCAAAATTTATCTTTTTGACAATCAACATATTATATAAAATGATATTTGAACTTAGATCATATTTTGAAAATACCATTTACCTTTAGAAAACTAGTTAAAACGACTTTACTAAAATCCATGCTTTACAAAGTAATTCAGATCCAGAAAAATCGGATGACCGAATTGGTTGATCGGTTCAAAGATAAGTCGACTGATCCATCAACGTTACAAAATTTAAATGTTCTAGCTTCTAACCCTGTACTCTCTAGCAGCTATATTTTTGAGTAATCCGAACT